TCTCATCAGAGCAAATACGACCCCCTGTCGAGGATTTCCTCGACCGTTATTCACCCTGGTCCGTAGTACAGGCTGCCCTTGTCGCTTGATACAAAGGGTAACTCACCGCCTCTCTCGCGTCGATTCGGGGCTTGACCTTAGAGGAACTTTTAAGCACTTTAAACTCGATTCCGAATCCCTTTAATGTTCAAAGGAATACTTACTGGAGAATTCTTGCATTCTTTCTCAGCATGAGTGTATCAGTTGTGATCATTGGAAACAACACACAAATTTTCACATTCACTTTGAATCAGTTTGAATTTTTGAAAGAATCAGGGGTAAAACGTGCGATTTTGGAGAGTAGAGACAAATCGATCGATAGAATAGGATGCAGTAGAAGTGTGAGATGTTAATGCAATAAGTCAAAAGGCCAGAAAGAGTTTCTAGTGACGGCACTCCAGAACCAAGTGGAAGCATTCCCGTCGCCAGCATTTGTGACAGATGTCCGGCGGTACTTTGAACGCGTAGCAGCCTTTCGGTTTTTCGAATTTTTTAAACAAATGCAATTTTTTTGTTCTTTTCATTCTTATCGTGGATGATGGGTCTCAAGCCAGTGATTTATGGCTGAAATAGAATCATGATTTTTCCGTGAAGGATTCCTTTAAACTGAGAACATTGCAAATCGCGTCCGCCCGCCAGCATTGCAACCGAAGTTGCAGTGCCTAATGAAATCTGCATCCGTACACCTTTACCGCCTTTGAAATCTTCATGAATGCACGTCAGATGGGTGTTCAAAACTGTTTCCTCTTTTCTCAGCGAAACATGTGAGTTTTATTTGATATCCTTCGAATTCTCAAGAAAAGCCATCATCCAGTTGCCAAAATGCCTGCAATGCTTTGTAAGAACAGTATTAGATATACACTCCATTACCTGATTGATTTGTTGCGAAATACCTGGGAAGGCCGAGCCAACAAGCAAAGAACAAGGTGTTGAAATTTACAGGGTGGGCCAAAATTTCCCTCCACTTTCCTCTTCATTTTTGGTATAGCATGATAGAAGACAACGCCTCCTTCCTAATGAAAACCAAATATCATAGAGTTCTCAAATTAGTGAAACAGCCACATCACGGTATGCCAGTCCTCAAATTGAACTGACAATGGATTGTGGCGGCTTCAACTTGCGACAGTATAACGCAACAAAGGAGCTTTCACAGGTAAAGGATAAACGCATTAATAAGTTAGGAATCCGCTAGGATGGAAAAGTAGATTGGAGACGGTATGATTGCCCTCAGAAGAAACATCAAATGCAGAAATTCGTTCTCCCCCTTCCTGCTTTCGTACCGCCCAATTGAAAAAATCCATGTGAAATTTCACTTGAACCATCTTTTGATCCAGTGTCTGTCATGGACAGGAGGCTACTTGAGCACGTTACTTTGGACGTTTCAGCAGGACAGGACACCTAGCCATGAAGCAAAAGTCCCGCAAAGAGAGATTTTTCGAGTTTATTCTCCTCGAACAACTGTTACCTAGGAATCCCTCACCGAATTCAGTTGGATTTTGTGATGTTAGAGCAAACCAAACCTTGAAAAGTCTTATTCCATTGAGAGAGCACAACAAAAAAGCTTAAAGAAATTATTCTGACGCCCACCTGCGCGCCACTGTGCACCTCTATTTATCTGAAGGTCTGTATTAATGCAGTAGGTAGCAAATTTTAACCCAACCTGCTTTGCTTTGGGATAATGGCCTTTCCCAATGGCCTTTCGTGCACTTTTTCGAATTTTTGTTGATGTTTGATTTGTTTTGTCAAGCGAATATTCGTTTTTGGTGATAAAATGTCTTGTTTACCATAATTTTGGCCCGCCTTGTA